TGTGGAAGATTCTATCACCCTGACAACTTTCTGTGCCAACCATGTGTAGTCATACCCTCCATCTACCTGTAATCCCTGACAGCCACTGATCATGTCACTGTATTTTCCTCTTTCTGAAAATGTCACATGAGTGGAATCATACAGTATTGTGGTGGGCACACCCTAAGGACCCACCCCCTTATGTAATTCCTTCCCTTTAAGTATGGCCAGAACCTATGACTTGCTTCCAATCAGTAGAATTTGGCAAAAGTAATGGGATGTCACTCATTCTTATAATTATGTTATAAAAGACTAATTTATGTTAAATTAGATACAGGATTCTCTTTTAAGTTTCCATGATTTCTAGTACATAGCTATTTCAAATTCACTAATTAATTCACCATTCATCCAGTCCACATTTATAGAGCATTTTTCATTTGGATGAGGTAGGTTCAGTGTGTTTCAATGATTAAAAGCATGGATTCAGAGTCAGAGTACCTGGATTCAAATCCCATGTGCCCAATAGTCTCTAGGTATCCTTGTAAAGTTAATTAACCTCTCTAATGCCTCATCTATAAAGTGGTAATACTCAGCATACCCACCTGACAAGATTTTGTGAGAATAGAGGGAGATGTTGTAAACAGAGCACTTGGCAGAGTGCCTGGCACTTGGTAAGAAAACACTTGGTTTCTGTCATTCTTTGTCATTATTATTAGTAATATTACTACTCCTGTTATGCAGAATGACTTGGGCATGGGACTCTCCTACCTGAAAGAGCCATCTAATAATTAAATAAAATATGTCAAGTGCTGGGAACAATACCTGGCACATGGAAAACTCTATAGATGTTAAGATATTATTATATCTGTAATTATTCTATATCTTCATTAATAGTAGTAGTATTAGAATTAATTATTATTGGTTACCCTTCTTCTCCCACTCCTTCTATAGAACAATGAAATAAAAAATATTGTCCAAGGAATTAACCTTTTCCTTTGTATTTTGTTTGGAAAATGATGAGGTGTTGTAGTATTTTCTGATTTAACCCAAGTGTCTCAGTGGTAAAGAATCTGCCCCTGCCATTGCAGGTGACACAGGAAATGTAGGTTCGATCTCTGGGTTAAAAAGATCCACTGGAGAAGATATGGAAGCCCAGTCTAGTATTCTTGCCTGGAAAATTCCATGGACAGAGGAGCCTGGTGGGATACAGTACATGGGGTTGCCAAGAGGCAGACATGACTTAGTGACTAAGCATGCAATACAGAAAATAGACAAAATAAACACAGAAAAGTTTAATTTTAATGTAATGACCATATTTTGTGTGCACTTGACTTTTCTAAAACATGTGAAATGGAAAGATGGAATGAGAAATATTACTTGTAAAATATATAATTGAATATATCTCATTTAAATAAATTCATATTTATACTTACCTGATAATCCTCTTTAAATTATGCAATAATAATTTGGAAGCTTTGAAAAGATTGATTCTATAATAATAATATTATTTTTGTTGGTAATCATATATAAGATCAATTTTTTTTCCTACTACTAGAGAGACTAGAAAACACAGTGACCTAGGTAAGATAGAAGCTTATTGTTCCACTGGGTTAAAGTGATTGGAATGGTGTGGATCCATTATTCAAGGGTTCAGGATCTTTCATCCCTAATGAGTTGCACCCTTTTTCTAAATCACTTCTTGGTCCAGAATGGCTGTCTGAATCCTGTTGTGGTCAAATTCTAAGGGGGAGTAAGAGAAGGAAGGAAAGTGAGGGAAAAAGAAAAAGCCCAAGAAGACAGTTTTCCTCTTTGGAGGTACCCTCTCTAGAATCTTTACAACTATTTCTGTTTACATTATTTGGCAAGAAATTCCATCTTGTGGCCAGGGCTTATTTGGAGGATTGTGGGGAAAAAAATATTTTAAGAGTTTACACTGCCACCTTGAATGCAACTGGAGTTCTGTTAATGACGAAGAATGCAAAAAGTGAATGTAGGGTGGGCAAATAGAAATGTCTGCCCTGGTCTTTATAGATATGATACACAGCCAAAAAAGAAAAGAAAAGAAAAAAAAAACATTAAACAAACAGCAAAAGTCCATAAAAGATGGAAAGGGAAAACTTCCTTTGGCAGAGAGAATGCTACGTGTTCACCAAATTGTGTTTCATTTTCTTCCTGGGTCATAAGGAGACTACTTTCCCCAGCCTGTTTAACAGTTTTATCTAGTCGACTGTGACCAGTAGTGGCGTTTGCCAGTCCTAGCCTCTGAAACCTTTCCTGGGATTCTCCAACGACCATCTTCATAAGATCCTTTGTAGTTGTTTAGTCACTTAAGTCATGTCTGAATCTTTTGTGATCCTCGTTAGTCAGGTGCAAAGACTGTGGAGAACTTCAAGGCCAAAGAAGATGGTAGAGTCATAGAATGGAGGAAGTTTGAGTCTTTTAATGACTGCTTAGAACGGAGACTCCTCTCCCTCTCTGGCCACTTGATGACCTCCGTTGAACTTTGACATCAGCATTAGAAACTCTTTTGGGGCTGAGCCCCTGAGATTTAGGGGTGGTTTATAGTACAAAAGAGTACATACTGTAATTATTAGAGCCATCAATAAAATACTAGCCTGGATTATCCTCATTATTATTATATATTTTCTAATAGTAATGCTTACATAAGAGGTGGTTTTACACACAAACACATTTATATATCAAATAAAGTATATAAAATAAAATTTATATATAAATATATATATTTATATACATTACATATTATATAATACAGAGGCCAAATAAAACACTGCATCCCCCAAATTATCACAATGAGATACCACCTCACACCTATCAGAATCTCTATTATCAAAGAAGAACACAACAAATTTTGGTGAGGATGTGGAGAAAAGAAAACCCTTGTATACTATTGGTGGGAATGTAAACTGGTGCAGTCGCTGTGGAAAACGGTATGGCAGTTTCTCAAAATAACTAAAAATAGAAGTACCATATGACCCAGCAGTTCCACTCCTGTGTATATATCCAAAAACCAAAACAAAACCACTAATTTGAAAAGATACATTCACTTCAACGTTTGTAGCAGCAGCATTATTTACTATTGCCAAGATATGAGTGCAATCTAACTATACATAACAGATAAATGGATAAAGATGTGGTATATATACAATGAAATACCACTCAGCCATAAAAAAGAGTAAAATTTTCCCATTTGCAGTAACATGGATGGACTTGGATGGTATTATGCTAAATGAAAGACAAATACTGTATGATATCACTTACATGCGGAATCTAAAAAATACCACAAACTGGTAAATATAATAAAAATGAGGCAGACTCACAAGATACAGAGAACAAATTAATCATTACTAGTGGAAATAGAGAAGTGGGAAGGGACAATATAGGGGTAGGGGATTATGAGGTATAAACTACTATGTGTAAAATAACCTACAAGGACTATTGTACAACAAAAGGAATATAGCCAGTGTTTTGTAACAACTGTAGATGGAATATAATCTTTAAAATTGTGAACCAGTATGTGTGAAAGTCGCTTGGTCATGTCCAACTCTTTGAGACCCCGTGGACTATACAGCCCATGGAATTCTCCAGGCCAGAATACTGGAGTGGGTAGCCTTTCCCTTCTCCAGGGGATCTTCCCAACCCAGGGATTGAACCCAGGTCTTCTGCATTGCAGGCAGATTCTTTACCAGCTGAGCCACCAGGGAAGCCCGTGAACCACTTAATATTGTACACTTAACAACAAAAAATGATTATGTATTTTGAGTGCTAATATAATTTCCATAGATACCTAGTCAAGACTAATAAAAGTGTTTTGTAGACCTCTTTAAAAAATAAAGTAGAACTTACTGTAGATACTCACCAACCACAGAAAACTAAGGCCTTGGCTGCTTTGTCAGAGGGATACCTAACATCATCAAGTTTGGGAGAACCCTAGAACTGAGATCTTCACAACCCATCATATCTTGTGTCCCTTTACATCTCACATTCTGGATTTGAAAGTGGCTTACACATTGAATGCTGTCAGACATTTGTTAAGTATGTGTATTTCTAGATGTTTAATTGGGTTCTAAATTAATCAGGAGCATGTAGTCATTCTCTTTGAGCAATGTATTAGTTTACCTTTTCTACTGTAATAAAAGATTACATATATGTGTTTATTTAGCTTATATAAATTTTATATAAAATAAAATATATAACAATAAATTTATAAATATGTATTAGATAATACAGAAGTCAAATAAAACACTTCATTCCCAAATATTTTCACTTCTAAAATTATCCCTAGCAATACTTTAAATTAGCTTTTTAAGTTAAATCAGCTGAATTTTAATCTAACACAGGAGAATTTTAATGAACAAAATGTGCAAGATATGTTTCAGACATACAGAAAAACAAATACAGTAAATTTTTAAAAATTAATTTTCCCCACATTGATTTGTGTGAGTGAAAATTACTAATAAAATATAAGAAGGAGGATTTGCCAGTCATTGATGAGGGTATATGAAATGGGCATTTGCCTGCAAACCAGTGATTTCCAGCCTCTGGTCAGAAATATCCATGTTCCTTGAAGATATATCTGGAAATTTCTGAAGCATTTAAGAAAAGAACTCAATAAAAGGAGAGACATACCATGTCCTGAAAACAGATTTAAAGATTATAAGTCATGTTCCCTAAAACAGTGTACAGTTTTAGTGCGATCCCAATCAACATCCTTAGTGAACTATTTTAATGAAGCATGACCAACTGGGTTTTAAATTTATCTACCAAGGTAAGATGCAGAGAAGGCAAGGAAAAAAAAAAACATGGTGAAATAGTTTAAATCAGACTTTTTTTTTAAAGTGAAGTGATGTACAACCTTTTTTTTTTTTTTCAAGAAATCGCCACCCTAAGGGAAATTAACAGACACTTGTTGCTAATTCACTTTCAAGTTATTTAAAAAGGAACATTTCTAGCCTTTTATACTTCAGCAATTTAATCTGGCAATTCTCCCTTCCCTAATTCAGAGAAGGACCGTCTGTCTTCATCACAGGGAGGGGGCACAGCGTCCTCTGAGCAGCTTCGGAGTGAGCTGTGCCCGGCCACTCTTGGGGGAGGAGCAGCATTTCACCGGGCTGCAGCTGACAAGAGCTCCAAGGTAATGGCTGTCTTAAATCCAGTTATTTTACAGGGATTTCTCAGGACCCTAGGATGAAGATGAGAGAAACAGGAACAGTGGTGTTAAAGTGGTGGGAAAGGTGTGTGGGTTTGAGATAATTGTTGGCATTTTGAAAGAATTAATCCTTTGGAATTTGTGTATCTCCCAATCCTTTAAAAGTCTACAAGTGGAAGAAGGAGTGATCAGATTACAGCCTCTATATTAAGACTTCAGTACAGCATGGGCATTCATGCTAATTTATTGACTTGGCATTCCATGTTTATATTGCTAGACATTCTGTTACTGTTTGAATGTTTAAGCATTTATTAATTTACACAGAAAATAATGGATAAAAATGTATGGCAGCATGAGGGGAAATACTTCTATAATTTGATTGGCACATAGACTATGTGTGTGTCACCTGTACATGAGCATGGAAAGGGGAACAAGTATGTATTTGAGTGAAGACACTTATACATATATATGCATGTGTATTCGCATGATTTAAAAAATCCGGGAGAAAATAAGCTCCCATGTTATTCAGCAGTTCTGGATAGTCAAGTTACTATTTTAATATTAATTCTTAGCCAATATCAGCATCTCCCCATGATTACTTTTATAATCATGAAAGAAAAATGAAGCTGACAGCATATCCAGTTTGCTCCAAACACGTAAGCATTCATAGACACACAGACATGCAGATATACCCCCCCATCTTTTGCCAATAGTGGAAAGTTTCCTGGACCTAATCAAGCCTAGTTGCTGTGTTGGCTACAGACCTGTCTGTATCTTCTTTGCAACTCATTCTTTCAGATCACAGGTATAACTGTGGTCAGCAATAACCATTTTCTGTATCTTTAAAGTCTTTTAAGAGTGAGACAGAGGGTTTGGTTTATTGCTGTTAGCAGTTTTTAGAAATATTATAGGGCATGGTGCATCCATACAATGGAATACTATGTGTCTGGAAAATAAAAATGTAAATCTCCACATGTACAGATTTGAAATGTCTGAGAAATAAAGTGAAAAAAGTAAACTGTAACATACAATTGTCACATTATCTCACAAAATTAAATATCTGTGTTAACAGAACATATATATGCTACTATGTAATTCATGCAGCCAATGCTGGGAAAACATACCTGCCATACTATTAACGACTGTTTATTTGTGTAGTTGGAGAGACAGGACTAGCTTTACTGCTGCCTAATTTTAGAGTATTAATATATTCTTACTCATTTACTTGTTTACATCATCAGGAAAAATACTGAGATAAAATGTTACAAATGTGAGAAAAAACTCATTTAAAGTAATTAATAAATCATGTGAAAAACACTTAGGTAAAATAATGTTCAGACTGCTCTTATTGAGATCTGATGTTGTTTTGAAATGATATGCATTTATCTATAAATGTAAAAAAGTCTGGAAAATGGAAAATATTCAGATTATTTATATAGAGGCTTGTACTTAGTTTTGCCTACATCTTTTTGCATCTTTTCGATTTTTAATAAGTTTATGCATGTTTTATACAGAGAAGGTAATGGCACCCAACTCCAGTACTCTTGCCTGGAAAATCCCATGGACGTAGGAGCCTAGTATGCTGCAGTCCGTGGAGTCGAGAAGACTCGGACACGACTGAGCGACTTCACTTTCACTTTTCACTTTCATGCATTGGAGAAGGAAATGGCACCCCACTCCAGTGTTCTTGCCTGGAGAATCCCAGGGACGGGGGAGCCTTGGTGGGCTGCCGTCTATGGGGTCGCACAGAGTCGGACACGACTGAAGCAACTTAGCAGCAGCAGCATGTTTTATAATCAGAAACATTATAGTTGAAGACATTATGATCCTCTTATCCTACACAGCAAACCCTTTGAACTTAGAAAGTTCTATAAGCCTGGAAAGGCTCCTGGCTGGCTAAATGTAGTTCCGATCCTTCTCTCATAAGAAAAATCTGAGCAACTGAAGCTCTGCATATAGCGCTTGCAAAATCTGCAGTTCTGCTTCTGGTCACAAGATGGCGGTGGCCAAATTTCCTAAATTTTCTCCAGGCAACCATTTTTATGAAGTGGACAATAAACCAATGAAACATATTTTGTGAGTGAACTGTGAGACAGCATGTAGAGTGTGAATAAAATTCTGTTGAAAAAAATTATATGTGTAAAAGAGGAAAAATTCTCATAGTGGTTGATTTGAGGATTCGAACAAAACCTGTAGTCTTGTTCATAGTAGTGTGTATGTGTTTAGTCGCTCAGTCATGTCTGACTCTTTGTGACCATGTTCCTCTGTCCATAGGATTTTTCAGGAAAGACTAGTAGAATGGGTTGCCATTTCCTTCTCCAGGGTATTTTCTCCTGGGATCAAATCCTTGTCTCCCGTGTCGCCATTGCAGGCAGATTCTTTATCCTCTGAGCCATCAGGGAAGGGCACAGTAGACACAAGGCAATTGTTACTTCCCTTTCTTGTCTTTGCCTCACAATTTTCCTGAGAAATATGATTTAAACATGAACCAGATATCATAACTGTATCACTCAGAAGTTAAAATAATATAAACAAGGAGGACAATAAACATCTACATCATAGATAAGATTTCATTTCATTCCTGTGTTTCTGAATGACATGTGTACTAAAGTTTTGGTAGAAAAGTTTCTTTATGCCTTGGCCACTTAGTTTAATTCCCTGTCTCCTTTTAGACAGCCTGTCTCTTTTTGCAGTAAGAATCAAGACAACCAGATCACAGAGCCAGACCCTTCCTGATCCACGTGACATTGGGTAAGGCTCTTTTCATTCTGCAAAATACTTCACATTAAAAACGTGTTGAGAACTCAGGGTATAATTTATTTTGCTTCTTTCTCTAAAGCCTTAGCAATATTAAAAACTATATTTTATATTAAAATCATGTTAGGTTGAGAATTTAAGGTGTAATTCACTTTGCTCCCTGTTCTGTAGCCAGAATGTTTTGTAATTAAAAGTAATATCTTCTACTTTGGGGGAGGAATCTCATGTGTCAAACTGCTATGAAGAATTCATGCCAGAGACTAATCAGATTTCTACCTGAAGTCCTAGCCAGCCACCTGACTCTCAAAAAATCCTTGATAATTACCCCATCCAATATGTGAACCTGGCAGCCATTCTGAATCTCTGCCTTCTAAGCTCATGATATTAACAAAGTCATCGTGTGGTCTAGGTCCAAGAGATACAGACCTTATTATCTTTGTCTGCCTGCTTTGGGTAGATAGGGAAACATTTACAGCTTAAAAATTATAAAGCTGTGTGTTTAGCTAGAACAGTGCTTCCAAAGAGTTCTTAGACAAGTAGTGTCAGCATCACTTGATAACTTATTAGAAGTACAGAACTTTGGATCCTATCCAGAGCATCTGAATACAATTCTCAGGATAGGGCCTAGAAATCTAGTTTTAAGAATTCTCCAGATGAGTTTGATGCACACCAAGTTCAGAGTCCTGCTTCTCTAGGTATAATATTAGGGGCACCAGTCCCAAAATGTCTAATACATAGAGTTCCTGAGACACCACTTCTGTCATCATGCACATAGAGTCACACTTTAATAATCATGTGCAATAATGAAAGTAAGTTCTTTGAGATGTTATAAAAATACTTTTCCAGTTCTTATCCTCCACCTTATATTATTCTACATTTTCCTCCTCCATCTGATGCCCCACTGAGTGTTGTCCTTTCGTCTGTCTCTTCTTTATTTGCAATTGCTCACCTACTTTGGCAAAATAATTTTATTTGCTGATACTCTTCTTTTCCTTTTTGCTATTTCAGTATCTTCCATATTGTCCATTCAAACAACGTGTTCAAGCATCCTTGGGAAGTTCAGCTGGAGGAGAACAGGCCACACAAGCAATGAACACTTTGTAACTCTTTGTAGTTCTAAAAGGGGCACTGGTCAAAGTATTGTTTGTGGGTAGGGACTTCCTTCACAGTGACAAGAATAGCCAGACACATAAGTCTCTGATATTAACCTCTTGGCACATAAATCTAAATCATAATGGATGCTGAGTATGTCTTATGCAATTGGCAAGACCAGTTATGGCCAGCAAAAGTTTTATCCAGATCTGAGGCTTCATCAAATAGTAAGAGAAAAAAGGTATTTTCCCTGGAAGTTCAAATACTCTCACTGGATGAAAAAATTCAAATGGAAAGCACAGAAACAAAGATCCTAACTAAATCTCAAGTTGAAGCTATTGTTTCCTCACTAGCCGCACAGTCAGAGGTCAGTGACCCACCTGGAGAGGAAACAGCCTATGCCAGGTCACTAAAAATGGCACTGGATATTCTGAATGAGAGAGCAAATTTGATTCAAGCAAGCAGTTCAGATGACGAAGAGACCACTATACTGTCTCAAAACATACCACAAAAGCCATCTGATTCACCCCCTCATAAAAAGTATCGGAAGCACGAAGGAGAAGGAGACTTACCAAAGTGTCTGGAGGAAAATGAAAATTCAACAACCCTGTTAGTATCATCAGAGAGTGATGATTTCCTGTATGATGATAAATCACAGGTGCGTGCAATGATTGCTAGTATTCCAAATGAAATGGAAACAAAATCATCACAAAACCTCAGCTGGTGCCAGACTTTCCCTTCACTTTCAGAAGAAGAGGATGAAAAAGAGAGCAAGAAAAAGATTGACCTCTCAATTTTGCCTTTACTTTCCACAATTAAAGAGGAAGATGTATATGTTAAAGAAGAAAAATTCAGTCCAACTTTATCGTCAGATAGCTTCATTGTGCCCAAAGCTTTAAAAGAGGAGCCAGAAGACATCTACCCAGAGGCCCTGGCCGCATCCTCTGAATGCTCTGCCTTCTCAGAAAATATTGAAGATCCTGGAGAGGGTCCCTCTGATCCATGCTCAGTTACCAGCCAGAATCAACCTACTGTGGAATCAGAGACACCTCAGCCTTCTTCATGGGAACATCAGGTTTCATTTAGTGCCTCTAGCCATTCCGGGGATTATTCACTCCTCGGGAGTAATGAAAGAAATCTTCAGAGACTGGATTTTGAGGAATTTGAGGAAGAATTTCAAGCTTCTGACACGTCAGCACGTGTAAGTTCGATTGCTGCATCCATATTAGATGATGATGAAGAAGATGAAGAACTTCCACGTTTCCTTTTTCATTATGAGCAACGTTCATTTGAAACAGGGATGATTGTCTGGTTTAAGTATCAAAAATATCCATTTTGGCCATCAGTGATAAAAAGCATCAGGCGAAAAGAGAGAAAAGCAAGTGTGATTTTTGTTGAGGCAAATATGAATCCTGAAAAGAGAGGCGTTAGAGTGCCTTTTAGAAGATTAAAGAAATTTGACTGTAAAGAGAAGCAGACACTAGTGGAGAAAGCCAGGGAGGAATACAGTGAAAGTATTGACTGGTGCATCTCGCTTATTTGTGACTACAGAGTTAGATTAGGTTGTGGTTCTTTTGCAGGCTCATTTTTTGAGTATTACGCTGCTGACATTAGTTACCCAGTTAGGAAAATAATCAAACAGGATACCTTCAGGAATTTATTTCCAAAGCTGCAAAATGAAAATACTGGGGGATCAATGTCTGTGACTTCCCAGACCAAGAAAATGTCCTTCCAGAAAATTCTTCCAGACCGAATGAAGTCTGCTCGGGACCGAGCCAACAAGAACCTAGTGGACTTCATCGTGAATGCAAAGGGAACAGAGAGCCATCTCTTAGCCATTTTAAATGGCACGAAAGGGTCCAGGTGGCTGAAATCATTCTTGAATGCAAATAGATTCACACCCTGTATTGAAACATACTTTGAAGATGAAGATCAGTTGGACGAGGTTGTGAAATATTTACAAGAAGTCTACAAACAAATAGATGAAAAAATGCTGACTCGGATAAGAGATGATAAAATTAAATTTATCCTGGAAGTTCTTCTGCCAGAAGCAATCATCTGCTCAATTTCTGCTGTTGATGGATTAGATTACAAGGCAGCAGAAGCAAAGTATCTGAAGGGGCCATCTCTAGGATACAGGGAAAGAGAATTATTTGATTCAAAAATCTTGTTTGAAAAGAGGCGGAAACCGTTAACAAAGGAAGATCATTAAATCTTCTGAGGGTCCAGTGACAGGGAGCTTCCATAGATTCTAGTTTAAAAGAAAACTCTCTGAATGATTTTAACATTTTTTTTCCAGAAATGGGAGACTTGGGTGATATGTTCACTTCTTTTTGCAATATCTAGCATCTATGACCTGTTGCTGCATCTTCATTTCCTTTTCTTTCACTTCTTCAACATCAAAGTATTTACATATTTCAGCAGTTCTACTTTCCTGTGCATTTTTAGAAAGCATAATTCCAATATGATTAATAAAGGAAAGTACTATTTTGTTTTTTTTTGACATTTTTGTGTCTATGCTGTATAGTTAAATATAGTGTGCACAATCGTTTTAATATTAAAGTTGCACTGGTGTGAGATATTAAGCAAGATAATTAGAAAAAAAGCACCAATTATATATTTTTGCTTAATTTTTATAAAATATTAGACTTTCTCTTAAGATAGCTGAATTATTTTTCCTGCCATGCTTATTTATTTTTGGAAAAATATCTCAGATATAGAACCAAAGATAGAGATGCTTTGCTATATATTACAACTGAGTGCAATTGCTTTTGCAAGAAAACAATCTGGACTTCAAAAATAAAGTAAATGGATTATCTGCATGCAGTCAATGTGTGTGTGAATAACATCTCAGCATGCAGAAAATAATTTTGGCAGCCTTGAACAGGATTATTCATTCTACAGTTCCATGTGTGGGAGTTCTATTGTTCAATAGCCAGAACAGTTTCTTAAAACAGACAGGCTTTCTGCTGCCTTCATAACTAACATTGGCTGTATCTTAATATAGCCTTCTGACCACGTATAGAAGGCAGCTAGAATCATTGTATTCATGGTCTGGCTACTCTAGACGTATGAGTCCAGACTGACTGCTTAAGAGCCCACCTAGTTGATATAAATATTGGTAGAAAATGCAAGCACTTTGTTCTGAATCTTGTATCTCCAAATACAGAGTTGCTTGCTTCAAATCAAGCATTTTTTATCATCTGGCTTATTTGTACAGTAGTTCCAGTTGCTTTCAATAATATAAATTCCAACTGGTAAATCATTCCACATTACTAAAAAGAATAGATGGACCAGAATCTGTGAATTTGGAAATGGGTCACAGAAAAACTCTCTGGACAAATATGACAATTATCCCAACATGTTTAAAAATACACAATTGAAAGTTAGAGTCTGAAGTCAATAAACTGTTTATTCTAACTTGAAACAAGACTTTTAGTGAGAATAAATATTGAGAGCTATTTTATTTTAAAAACTTGATGTAAAATTAAATCCTAAAGGCTTAATGTGAACCTGTCTGCATTTTTCAAAGTGAGACAAATGTCATTCCTGGGGTTTTGTTATGTGTTCACATGGCCTTGTGTTTATGTAAAAATTGCAGAAATTTGATGTTTTGCTTCTCAATAAAACTATTATACCTTTCACCTTGGATGTTCACTTCACCATACTTCAGATTGTGCAGCTACATAAGTGGTGTTTCTGCATACACACACACACACACACACACACATGATTTGTTTGGAATTTTTGCTTATTGCAGTTGTCATAATCTTAATGCTTGTTATACATTATCTTATCATTCTAAATAAATACTCACTGTTGTGATTGATTTTGTATTATTTTAAAAGAAAACCTTCAAAAGTATATAAGCTTCAGATTCCACAGAACATTCTCTAGACCCTGTTTCCTGCCTGACAATGACCAAGACTCGTCAGGTGTACAGCCTGAACCGATCCACATACTTTCATCATGATCCTGAAGATCATTTGACAACAGACCAACACCACAGTAGATGTGGGCCTTATACCCTGGGAAAACACACTGTATTTACTCTATAATATTGTGTTCCTTTGAGTATAATATATTGAGTGAGTGATTGAGTGAAGTCGCTCAGTTGTGTCCGAGACTTTTTGTGACCCTGTGGACTATAGCCCACCAGGCTCCTCCGTCCATGGGATTCTCCAGGCAAGAAAACTGGAGTGGGTTGCCATTTCCTTCTCCAGGGGATCTTCCCAACCCAGGGATCGAACCCAGGTCTCCCACATTGCAGGCAGACGCTTTAACCTATGAGCCACGAGGGAAGCCCTACAGTACCCACCTTCTATTTTCTCAGTGGAGCTAACTCTATCTCCTTGGTTCTCATATTTTCTTTACTACCTAATTCATTTATTCATTCAATTAGCCATACGATTGTGAGTCAAGAAAAAAAGCGATGTGTGGTTTAAAACTCTACTCTGAGCATTTATGATGCCAGATTTAAAGTGAACCAGATGACTTTAGTCATCTTAGATGACTTCTTCATCATAATAGCGATACACTTCATCATAATAGTGGGAAATATTTCTTAATGTCATAGACTGTATTTGAAAAACAGAGCCCCAAGATTCCCTATATTTGTGAGTTCCTGGGTGTCTAATTTGGGGTAAAGGAAGGGCACCTAAATTGCTCCTAGGATGTTTTTCATATTGTGGCATACATTGAAATAAGGGAGATGTGCCTCAAATGTACATTTATTTTCCTCTTAAAGGCTACCCACTCCAGTATTCTGCCCTGGAAAATTTCATGGATTGTTTAGACCCTGGGGTCGCAAAGAGTCGGACATGACTGAGTGACTTTCACTTTCACTTTTGAGTGAGTTGGCATTTGGGATGTAGAAATAGATGAGTTTGGATTCCAACTCAGCGTGAATTCAGAAATCCATTTCAGCCTCAAGTGGTTTTTAGGGCAGGCTCTAAGAGTGCCCTAAACTGGATCTGTAATCTAGGTTTGTGTGTCTAATGGGAATATACAGCCTGTCATTCACCCTAATGCATTGGATTAAGAAGACCCTCATCGCCAGTCATAAAACAGAATGCTGAACAGCAGACCCTGATTCTAACTGCAAGGTTGCAGACCTGCATGGAAATTGCATTCATAACACTTCAGTTTAGTTCAGTTGCTCAGTCGTGTCTGACTCTTTGGAACCCCATGGACTGCAGCACACCAAGCCTCCCTCTCCTTCAGCATCTCCCGGAGTTGTCTCAAACTCATGTCCGTCGAGTCGGTGATGCCATCCAACCGTCTCATCCTCTGTCGTCCCCTTCTCTTCCCGCCTTTAATCTTTCCCAGCATNTGTACTCTGCATATAAGTTATATAAGCAGGGTGACAATATAGAGCCTTGACATACTCCTTTCCCAATTTGGATCCAGTCTGTTGTTCCATGTCCAGTTCTAACTGTTGCTTCTTGACCTGCATACAGATTGCTCAAGAGGCAGGTCAGGTGGTCTGGTGTTCCCATCTCTTTCAGAATTTTCCACATAACACTTAGATCTCTATATCAATATATGTATCCTAATGAGGAAAGAGTAGACCTCTGAGACCTAGAACGGTAATGAGTGCAAAAATATTGAATCTCTATCATCCCCTGTACACTCAGTCTGGCAAAAGTAGCCCCCTAACCCTTACTATTGGAGAGCAACCTCCCTGTCCCTGGAAAACAGGGCAATAGCCTCATCTAAGGCAGCTACCTTGAAAAGACTGCTTGTCTTACTCAACGGCCAACACTGATGTTTTTAATTGCTTCCAACTCATGGCAAGGGTAAGGTGTTATCACAGCACAACACCAAAATACACTCTCTGTTCAGGTGGAATATCCAGAACATGCTCTAGGAACTGGCTAATAGGTACTTGTGTGAACTGGGATAATACATGTTAGAATGGATTTTGAGGACTCACTGACATGGGAGTACATTCTTATGACTCAGAGGTCAATGACCTAGAGCTGCCTTCACATATGCTGTTTGGGTGACATCTTGAAGCTTGGGCAACAGGCTGTGTATGGTAAATGAGATAAAAGATATTAGAACTTGCTTGCCAGAGTACTGAGGAATTGGTGAGAAGGTCAAAAGGAATGAAGGTATTAGAAATAATTACCTTCATAGCATGAATGATATTAGACAAGAGGACCTATCTCTAAAGTATATTTCCCTCAGAGGGCAGAGAAGACATTACTATGATAAAGTAGTGAGGAGGAACACTTGACGTTTGTGAGGGGGAACACTTGACATTGGTGAAGGGGGATATTTGATGTTTTTATAAAAGTCAATGTATGCTCTCCTCTGCAAGTCATCATTAGAAGTAAACTATGTTCTAATGGAGATAATAAGATTTCAGAGCCCAGGTTGCTACACAAATCTCAGGGACAAGTATAATTACCATAATGGGAAGCACAGTCAGAGTGGAATCAAACTAGTTTGACTGACAGAAGTCTGTGGTAATGCTTTATTGATAGTATTCCAGGGCTAGATATATGAACAGTTCTTTTGTATGGAAAGAAAAACATGAGACTTGACAAGTCAAAAAGTCTGATGTTAACAGACTTGGTCCCCTACCATGTTTTCAGATCTGCAGTGCAAGTTCTTCTGTTACTTAGGTCATATGCCTCAGTATATCTTATAATGCTTACAGTATCTATGATGGATAAGGAAGCATTATCTAAGTCATTCTAAGCCATAATATGGGAGTTGCAACACAGAATCCTGAGGTTCTGAGCAAAATTCACATCTCTTATGTCAGTAAACTATTTGCCAATTAAAACATAGCTCCTTACATGCTATTGAGTTCAGTAGAATTATATATGGAGTGCCTTACCAAGAGATAGCAAGTAAGGTGCTATATGACAGGAGCTGCCCACCACAAGCTGTACATTATAATATTCACCAATTGATAAGCTCTGGCAAGCTCAATAACTGTCCATAGTACCATGGACATGCTCCAGGATCCAGCCTGAGAAAGCACAAATAAATTGGCTGACTTCACAAGCCTTCATGCCTTTGACTGCTGTTACAATGATGCCCCTCATGAGGCAGGGGGTGGTCTATGAACAACTACTGGAAGAGGAAATTATTAATCTCAAACTTAGTGCATAGATATGTGAACATTAAATAGCGATGATAGCTGTAAATGGACTGCCACCACACTTCAGTTTCAGTTAGAGTAGAATAATGTTGAAGCAGGAAACTTCCGGTTGGCAGAACTGTGAGCATTACATCAGGTTCTTCACTCTGTAATTAATGGTCATCCAAGGAACTGACTGCAGAGAAGGCATTTAAAAACAAAGTGTATCTGATGACTCATGTGGATATCAAACAGCTTCTCTCCTCAGTCATCGTGTTTCTGGCACAATGAGCCCATGAACTATCCTGGTGGCAGGGTTGGAGCCTAAGCTTGAGTTCAACAACACTAGCTCTCTCCATGGGTGATCAAGCTACTCCCATTTCTAAATGTATAACTCCCCAAGAGCAACATCTGATGCTGGGCACTCAATTCCACCCCTTCCTTCAAGGATATCATCCAGCTACCTCATTCTACATCAAATACACTGCACCCACTCTATCTTAGAGGTGGTAGTTATTCATCATCACAAAAATGGATGCCAACTTTAGACCCATAGGGTCAAGCACCACTTGCCTGTGGTGATGTGCAATTTCATAACATACCATTGTTTGACTTTTCCTCCTTCCTTGCTTAACTATGTTGTTGTTTTTTAGTCACTCAGTCATGTCTGACTCTTTGTGACCCCATGGACTGCAGCACACCAGGCTTCGCTGTCCTTCACCATCTCTTGGAGTTTACTCAAACTCATGTCCATCGAGTCAGTGATGCCATCAAACCATCTCATCCTCTGTTGTCCCTCCTCCTCCTGCCTTCTATCTTCTATCTTGAGGGTCTTTTCCAATGAGTCAGTTCTTCACATCAGGTGGCCAAAGTATTGGAGATTCAGCTTCAGCATCAGTACTTCCAATGAATATTCAGGGTTGATTTCCTTTAGGATTGATTGGTTTGATTTCCTTGTTGTCCAAGGGACTTTCAAGAGTCTTTTCCAACACCACACTTCAAAGGCATCAATTCTTTGGCACTCAGTCTTTTTTATTGTCCAGCTCTCACATATGTTTTCCTTGCTCTGACTTACTAGAACCACTTTCCAAATGAGCTACTCAAATGGAAACTTTTGTGTCACACTCTCTTTTGTGGACACTCAGACTAAAATAACCTGCAATAATCAAATATTTTATAAAATATAAGTAGGCAACTTTGGATCAAAATGTTTATTAAAGATTTAAAACTTATTCATGTATGAAAACTATTAAAAATTAGTAATTTTCCAGTTCTGGCAATGATGGAGTCCAACATTTCCCCTACCCCGTTTACCAGAATCAATAACTCAAGTTTTCACATTAGAAAACCAGAAAAAGAAGAGCACATTAGATCCAAAACAAGTAGAAGAAATCAAATAAATATTAGAGCAAAAATCAACAAAATTGAAAACAAGGAAACAATAGAGTAAATCAATGAAACCTAAATCTGCTTCTTTGAAAAGGTTTTGATAAGATTTTAGCTTAGATAACCAAGAAAAACAGAGAAGACACAAATGACCAGTATC